CGTGGCAACATGGGACCATTAACACGTCAAATACTCGGCATGTACATGTTTTTTTTCCAAGATCCACAGTAAACACGCAGCCATATCCATCGTTTACTTGGAAAATCAAATCTGTAGATGCGATGACAGCACAGTCAGTTGCATCCTTTAGATGTTCAATTAACATTTCTTCAATCTTGGGTGTGCACCTTGTCTGTGTCTTATTTGCCTCGGCCCGCCGTTGGCAAAACCATCTCATCAACATGGTTCTTATAAATTCAACCATGGTAACAACAGGGAAATCGATAGCTTTTTGAAGAGTTGCGTTTAAAGACTCGGAGATATTGCTACTCATAAGATTGTAGCGCATACCAGGGAAGAAAGCTAAGGTCCAATGAGGGATACCTATCTCGAGAAGATATTCGGCGCACTTCCTGTTCCTCGCAACAATTTCGTCCCACCAATACCTTAAATCCCCAACAGTATACGCTCTGGCCGCATTAGACACCATCGCCGCTAAGCCTTCACACTTAAAATGATGCTTAACATTCCGGAACAAATGGACAGTACATGTTCCATGTTTTGCCAAGGGATAGACACTTCGAAGACCGGCGTATATAGCAGCATGTCTGTCATAAACAAAAACCAGATCTTCTTCGTCAGGAACAAATTGGGATAATTAACGGAAGAACCATGTCCACGACAATGTATTTTCGCTGTCCACAATACCGAAGGCTAATGGGAAAATTTGATAATTCACATCCTGTCCACTGGCTGCAACAAGACAGCTCTGATACTTACCCTTCGTTTGTGTTCCATCGATGCAGATGACCTTTCTGAGATGTCTATACCCTGCTATCGAGGCGCCTAACGCAAAAAATAAATACTTGAACAATGTTGCACCTTCTATGGTTGTAGTGGTGTGGACAGAAGACAAAGTACCCGGATTTGTTGACTTTAAGAGATGTAGATAAGTTAACAAGAACTTGTAACCCTCTTCGGCGTTTCCTCTTGCTCTATGCATAGCCAGTTCCTTTGCATTCCAAGCTTTCATGTAAGATATCGTGACATTGAGTTCTGCCAACACAATCTCCGGAAGTTCACACGCTCGTGGACCTTTTTTCCCATGTGCATATTTGGCTTTTAGTAGATCACCAAGGATTGTAGCTGTAGCTTTCTTACCATATTGAGATCTTGTTCCGACGCAACAGTTATGTTGTAGAGTAGCAGTTCGGATTTGGACGTTCTTGGAGTTTTTGTGGTTAATAGCATAGACCCTCCAGTTGCATTTAGGGTCATCACATACAGCAATAACTCTTGTCTTGTCGGATGCCTTGATTCTGAAGTTGAACAATCTCTTTATCGAGTAAACAGACAAAGCCTTGTGCATCTCATTCTTATCCTTGAACACCCTCCCTATGAACAGAGCATCACCGGATCTCCTTAGGTTCATATTAGCTTTGTCGCTGGGCGCGCGAATGGCATTATCCCGGAATGGTGCAGCATCAGTAAAAAGAATAGGATCCTCCGCAGTTATCTGATCGAGGTCTCTTTGAATATCAACAAAATCAATAGACAAAGGTTCCACAACGTTTTGAGTAAAATGAGTTGGATTCCTGGTTTGTATTGTGTTGTCAGCATTACTAGATTGTCCACGTTCCATGCCCATGAAATTCGTGATTCCGCTATCGGGGACATAAACGTCGTCTGTACTTAACGGCTGCGAATTGTGTCCACTGGGGTCCATATTTCTTAGGACGGCAGTGAACTGCTCCAAAGCCTCATTAATTGGTCCACGGGCGTTATCAGCAGAACTCGTCCTTGCAGAACAATTGACAGGGGCCACGTTAGCGTCTATATTGTCGGTGGCTGATAATATAATCGGTGTTTGTCCATCCAGTCTCTCGTGTCTATCATCTGGAGGGTTATTCGTGTCCCCTACGATAGAAAGCGTATCGGCGACAATATTAGTTTGCAGTGTATGATCTATATCTGCAGATCTCGTCTTCCCACGACAACTAACAGGACCAATATTATTGTCTATAGTATCGCACCCCAGCAATGATGTCGAATGTGGTATATCCTGAGCCTCTCGTAAATCCACATTATCGATTTTGTCCATGTCTACACCAATGGGACTTGGCTGTCCACGATCTTTGTCTGTAGACCACGTCTTCACATGGCAATCAACAGGAACAATATTGGTGTCTATATTTTCTTTGCCCAACAATATTGTCGGAGGTGGTCTATCATGAGGCTCACGCAAATCCACATCTTCTAGACTACTCATTCGTAACACATGTCCGTGTGGATTTCGTGCACGAGTTCGTTGAGTAATAATCTCTTTACGAACACCGCCACTATCTTCAACCATCAACTCTTCCACTTCTACACTCTCGTAATCTATTTGAAGACTGAAACCTATAGGAGACAGATGGGGCGTTCTTGGAACGTTGTTTGGTCCACTAACACCCTTATCCAGACTTCCATCTGAAGACGCATTTTTAGCTCGAAGAAGCGGATTTTGAAGAAGATCAAGTTCGATATGGCTACACTTATTATGCCCTCGAATATCAGCATATGGATCCCAATCAAGAGGATAGTCTTTGTCAATTAACTCCCTCATCTTGTTAAAGTCATAATCAACCTCGTGATCAATGGACACACTTCCAACGTCTGAATCTCCATTTATGTCGCCATATTTTCGTCCACAACGTATTGGTGTGGTCAAAATGTCGTCTACCATCTTCCTTTTTCCAATACTTTTATTGTTCACCGAGTTTCTAGTCTTGTCCAAACACCCATCTTCCATCTCATCGATGGCTTTCAGAAACTCTGGATCTTCAAATGTCAATACATTTCTGCACAAACCAGCATTCGTGGCATGTGGACCTGGAAGATCTGCGGATGTGTTCTGTTGTCCACAAGCTCTATCCTTATAAGCTGCTTCTGCTTCTGAAACTGCTCTCAACAGCAATTCAGTTGAACATGTGTCTGCGGTGGACTTCCCTGGAAACTCGACACCCCCGAGACGTATATCCCCGTAACTGTCGTCTACATCGATAATTCCGTTTTTGGGTGACCCACAAACATCGCCGCCGACATCTGCACCAGCATTAGAGCTTTGTTTCCCGAGGGTCAAATACATGTTCAACCCAGTATTAACTTTCTTTGCCTGTTTGAACTTAGCCAATCCACTGTCGGTATCGATTGCCACAGGAGGCATCTTAGCCTGGGTGAAAACGAGGTCTTGTCCTTCGCACCAATAGCTAAGCTGGGCCCCAGTATCAAGGAAACATATGCCAAATGCTTTTGACACCTTCACCGTTAGATCTTCAAACGTGTCTGCAGCACAAACGTCGACACATTTGGCATATTTCCGATTCGAAACATTGAAACGCCAAACTCCGTTGTCGGGACAAACCCATACACCAACGAAAATCAACACACCGTCGTCCATCGAGATGAAATGTCCCTGTGTAAAAAACAACATCGGAAAGTCAATAAAATTTCACATTAAATGCTCGTTAAAAATTCTGAAAATAAGGACAAGAAAACTGGAAAAACATATATTCTAACAGTCAGAGAATTTGCATTCAAGACAACCAACTCGGAAAAATAAACATTAATGGTGTGAGGACATAAAAAAAAAAGAAAAATCTATCCAAAACTCACGTCCGTTAGCTGTTAGGAACACAAATCTTAACTCTTCAGCTGTAAACCATCTTCAGATCTTCGAGAGATAATATTTCAAATTTTTTGGTTCAGATTTGTTTTGCCCCCAATGAGCTAATGATCTTTACATTTTAATGATGTATTAGGAATATAATAATGACATAAAATGATGATTTTATGGAAGAGATACATTTTGCTGTTGCAGCATTAATTACTCTGCACAACATTAAATGCCATATTCGAGAACCTCTCTCTCTTCGTACGGCAAAGCAAATGAGAAAGAGTGGTTTTTTGTCTGCTGGAAAACAGGGAGCATCTCCTTTCCCACGTTGCCAAAAGAGTGGGGGCAAAATCGTCAGATCAATTGCAACCTACCACAAGAATGTGGTATATCTGAGGAGTTTTCGAAAATGTGGCATTTGCAGAAATGGACCCACCATTTTGTGGTAGAAGTCGTAAATTTCCCTTCAATCTTAACTAATATATTTAAAGTTATTAAAAACAGATTGTAAATATCAATTTTTGAATTAGTATTTGCTCCTTAACGATACACAATTATGATTTCGTATTTAGCTAAGAACGAGTCTCAGAAATCCTTAGAGTATCTTTGGTCTTTGTGTATCGATCTCGAATATACTTCCTAACGGTTAAGTGTATTGAGTTAATTACTCGAGCAATCAAACAAGAATAATATCATAATGGTCTTCCCATTTCCTTACTCTGCTAGTCTGCTTATAATCATCACATTATAACTCAAACAATGATGCCATGAAAATAAATTAGATGTCAAATATAAAAGAACCAATTAAAACTACATTGTGTAAGAAAAAAAAAAAAAAAAAAAAAAAAAAAAAAAACTGAAAATGGAAGAATGACCAGAAGCACATGACTCTGGAAAACTGATATCATGAGCTTATTCATCACCTAGACGGCCAACTCTTAGTCTCCGAACCAACGCAAAACCTTTCACTCCGAACCAACACATGTATAATAAGCTAAACGTAGATACACCACTTTAGAAATGTTTTGGATCAAAACCTTATAACCCGGAAATAAAAGAGACCATGGAAATATTCAGTAATGTGTAAATCTAAGCAGATTCAGTAAATGCACAAAAAAATAAAAAAGGTTATGAGGAACATGGAACATGAAAATCAATCTATAGAGGTAGAGTTTGTAGGCTTTGAGAAACTCAAACGCTTTTATCTTCGTAGCTCCTTGAATTATGTGGAATTGAAATATTAATACTCAAAATAAGAAGAAAAAACAGAGGTAAGAATATAATTGAGAGGTTAAATATGCATGCAAAATCAAGAGACGTGAAAGAAATAAAGTTCTGTCAGGTTGAAGCGAATTTGCTAGATATTCTAGTGAGATCATAGAAAGAGAGGTGAAGAATATGTCTGGTGATGTTAAGGTGTTTATCGGAGAACACCAGCAATTGGTTGAAGAGTAGAGAAGGCCTCATTTCCGTGTTAAATACGGAATCATAATTGTGTATCGTTAAGGAGCAAATACTAAGGAAACGAAATTGCTTTTAATTTCTCATTATTGATGTGTAAATCGAAATATAAAACTTTATGACAATATTATTGTTTCCTACCCAAAAATACAAAGACGTTACATAGGATAGGAGATTACATTCTTAAGAATAGATTGAATGTAATAATCAAGAAGTATTGACCGATGTTGAAAGTACATGATGTCATTTTGTTCGTATTCTTTGTCCTTGTTTTTCTTCTTCCTTTAGCGCTTTAAACTGAGTAACAATTTGGTCGTAATCAGGAAGGTTAGGATGAATATGTTTTGTTGCTGCTAATCGTTGTCTTTCTTCTTCTTGTGCCTCCAGCGCTCTAAACCGAGTAATAACTTCGTCGTAATCAGGAAGCGTAGGCTCAAAGCCTTTGGGGAATAATCTTCGTCTCTCGTTTTCTGCTTCCTTCTTCTTTTTAAACTGAGTTAAAAACTTTTCGTACTCATGAAGCTTCGAATGAACATTCTTGGTTTTTAAGCTTTGTCTTTCTTCTTCTTCTTCTTCTTCTTCTTCCTTCTTCACTTTGAACTCATTGTATTCTACACAATGGCGACAATGTGGTGATGTTGATGATCTTCTTCTTCTTTGATGAGTCCTTGTTTGCCTCATGTAATACGTCAAACTCTCCGTATTCCTAAACTCCATTAGTGTTGATAATGGTGATGATGGTTTTCTCTTCTCTTCACTACTTTTTCGGAATCTGAATACTCTTTGATCTTTTCCCACTTGACCATCTTCTATGTAATCATCTTCCATTGATGTATCTTCCTTGCTTCTCTCTTCTTCAACATCGGTGAGGCTAATTTTATACACCTCGTATGGTGACTGATCAGCACATCTAATATCCATATTCATTACATTCTTCTCTTTTTCTTCATTGACCTAAACACACAAACCCCCAAAATATTACGAAACCAAAAAAATATATATATATCTACTGATCTTTACTAATAGAATAACAAAAAAAAATTACCTGTTTTCCAATCTCAGGTCTGCTATATTCCGGCCTTAATATTTCTAAAAGGTGACCGAACTTCTTCGTTATTTTATCCACCATACTACGCTTCACATCTTCTATGTAATCATCTTCCATTGATGTATCTTCATTGCTTCTCTCTTCTTCAACATCTGTGAGACTAAAATATTTCTCCACCTCTTCTGGTGACTCATCCGTATTCATTACTTTCTTCTCTTCCTCTTCATTGACCTAAACACAAACAAATCCAAAATATTATAAAACCAAGAAAAACAATTATATATCTACTAATCTTTATTACAAAAATAATAATTAAAAAATCACCTGTTTTTCAATCTCAGGTTTTTTTTTTATCTCAGGTTTATATTCCGGCCTTAATACTTCTAAACGGTGACCACACTTCTTCTTTATTTCAGCCAACAATCTAGACTTCACATCTTCTATGTAATCATCTTCCATTATCTCTTCTTCGAAATCAGTGAGGCTAAAGTTATACACCTTGTCTGGTGACTCTTCATAAGATCTAATATCCATATCCGGATCAATTACTTTCTTCTCTTCCTCTTCATAAACCTAATTAAACACACACAAGTCAAATATTATGAAACCAAATATATATACTGATCTTTATTACAAAATAACAATAAAATAATAACCTGTTTTTCAATCTCAGGTTTATATTCCCGGCTTGATATTTCTAAACGGTGACCGGATTTCATTATTTCATCCAACAATCTACACTTCACATCGTCGATGTAATCATCTTCCATTATCTCTTCTTCGAAATCGGTGAGGCTAAATTTATACACCTTGTGTGGTGACTCTTCATAAGATCTCATATCCACATCCGGATCAATTACTTTCTTCTCTACCTCTTCATAAACCTAAACACACACAAGTCAATATTACGAAATCAAAAAGAAAAAAAAAACATATATATCTACTAATCTTAATTAATAAATAACAAAAAAAAAAATAACCTGTTTTTCATTCTCAGGTTTATATTCACGCCTTGATATTTCTAAACGGTGACCGGACTTCTTCGTTATTTCATCCAACATTCTACACTTCACATCTTCTATGTAATCATCTTCCATTATCTCTTCTTCGAAATCGGTGAGGCTAAATTTATACACCTCGTGTGGTGACTCTTCATAAGATCTAATATCCACATCCGGATCAATTACTTTCTTCTCTTCCTCTTCATAAACCTAAACACACACAAGTCAAATATTATGAAACCAAAAAGAAAAAAAAAAACATATATATATATATATATATTTTGTAATTATGATCAGTATATATATATATATATATATCTATATATATATCTACTGATCCTAATTACAAAATAACAAAAATAATAATAACCTGTTTTTCATTCTCAGGTTTATATTTCCGCCTTGATATTTCTAAACGGTGACCGGATTTCTTCATTATTTCATCCAACGTTCTACACTTCACATCTTCTACGTAATCATCTTCCATTATCTCTTCTTCGAAATTGGTGATGCTAAATTTATACACCTCGTGTGGTGGCTCTTCATAAGATGTAATATCCATATCCGGATCAATTACTTTCTTCTCTTCCTCTTCATAAACCTAGACACACACAAATCAAATATTATGAAACCAAAAAAAAAAAAAATACTGATCTGTATTTAAAAAATAGCAAAAAAAACTAACCTGATTTTCAATCTCAGGTTTATATTCCGGCCTTAATATTTCTAAACGGTGACCTGACTTCTTCGCTTTTTCAGCCAACAATCTAGACTTCATCACATCTTCTATGTAATCATCTTTCATTGATGTCTCTTTCTTGCTTCTCTCGTCTTTGACATCGGTGAGGATAAATTTATACACCTCCTGTGGTGACTCTTTCTTGCTTCTCTCTTCTTTATCCAAATCCATTACTTTCTTCTCTTTCACGTCAAATACCTAAACACACACAATCCCTAAATATTATGAAACCAGGAACAACAAATATATATCTACAATAATAACAAAAACAATCACCTTGTTTTCATTCTCAGATTTATGTTCCAGCCTTAGTATTTCTAAACGGTAACCCGATTCCTTGGCTATTTCATCCACCATTCGACACTTCACATGTTCGGATACTGAATATATCGACAATTTCTTTTTGATCTCCGTGTTTACAAGATTCCCAGGGAGAACCTGAATAGCAGTTGTTACATAACGTTGACCATAACGTTGACCAACCAGCTCGCTTAAAGTAAGCATTTCAGGTATATCTTTACACTTCACAGATGCATAGATAAGAGTCGAAACTGCTTCCGAAGTATCGTCATTAACCAGTTCTCTGCATGTTAATTATCGAATTAGTGTTTGAATCAAACCTACATATATAATCAGAGAATATTTAAGAGAGAAACAAAATATATAGTAATTACCCGTGTTTTCGAATTGGGGAGAAGCGTCGGATTATGAAATCTGTGAACTTAAGCAACAAATCGTAGATTGAAATCGAGTTTTCGACGAGGAAGAGCTGTTCGGTTCGGAGGAGTGCATTGGTGGATTCATTGCTTCGGATGTAGTCAGCAATATCCATACGTATATGTCTAGCTTTTGCATACTTTTGGTGTTTGAGTAGCAGAAGACGAGATTGAAGCATCTTCAACACTTTCCATGTGAAAGCTTTTGCTTTCTTCCGTCGACAGAGCAAGAAACCAAACATGATTTAAACTGAGTTTGCATGTGTGGTGGTCTCAGCAACGAAAAAGATGTTGGTTTTATAAGGAAAAATTAACGACCTAAATCCCTTTTTTTTTCCTTGTTAAAGTAACGACCTAAATCCCAAACGACTTATCACAATTATTTATAAAATATCAAATCACAAATAACAGATACGATTATTTTTGTTTTCATTGAAATCCGTGAGGATATCTCGAACCGTAATCCAATATTAATTTTAAACAATGATATTAAATTTGCTACTTAGCTTAAAAATTACGTAGGATTCTTGATAAAAAAAAAATTGATAAAAAAATTTGTAGGAAAATTTTTACAACAATTGATGCTAATTTACAAGAAAATGAATTGTGTAGTTTCTTCAGCATATATATGTACTAGTTATTTGCAAAAAAAAAAACGCAGTGACTATATCAATACAATCAAAGATTTGCTCCTTTATTCTATAACAATTAGTAGTCCAATCACTAACTTTCAACAATATATATATATATATATAATTCAAAGATAATGTGATTTATTAACGTTTACCAAAAAAAATAAAGGTTTAACTGGCCGACAAAAAAAAGGTTTAACAATATAATGTAATATTTATTAGGAAAATTGGATATTAAGGAGGTTTATTTAAAAAATTCCACATGCATTCTTTTTTTTTTTCCCTATCACATATGCTTTCTATGGTGAAGTACTCTTAAACTTTAAAAATCTTATTAAATTATACTCCCTCCGTTTTCGAATAGTTGTCATTTTAGAGCTTTTTTTTTGTTTTAAATTAGTTGTCGTTTTAAGGTAATAATGTAATTTATGCCAATAACTACCCAAATTACCCTCATTTTATTGAACACAAATTATTTGTAAATAATTACTTGTCATTTTTATGAGATTAATATAGTCATTGTATACATTTTCTTAATTTGTCAAAATACGTTAAAACGACGACTTTAAAAAAACAGAGGGAGTAGAAATCTTTTTCTGTTTTCCTAAAATCTTGCCAAATCTTTCCCTAATATTTGGTTTATCTCAACCGTCCCAAATATTTGTTGAATCAAAACCGTACCGAGCAAGACCAAAATAATGAACAGATCCACGGAGAGATGTTGTTCCCTAGTCAAGTCCAAGTAAAAACTTGCTTGGTTTTATGAATACTTTTGGTATAAACAGGGAATCAGATAATCAAATTCATGCTTATCTTTCAGATCCTTCTTAATCGCTTTTGATAATTTCGGTGAATCATCTGACCAATAACGAGTTGCACGTATCACTTTTTTTTTGGAGGTGTATCGCTTACATTGTCTCTGGTAGATCAGATTCAAGTCTTTGTTTGCAAGTTCAATATGTTTGATCGTAAGACAGATACTTCTCACATATGTAATCCAATTGTATTATAAAATTGAAAGATCCAGTGATCAAACATCACATTTTTCAGTTGATGATAGTACATTATCAAATTTGTGTCGTGGGAATTAAAAATCAAAGACTTAAAAAAATTGTTTATTTGAGAAAATACTTTGATGCATGAGGCTAATAGGAAGAATTTAATGTTGTGTGTAGAGATAATGTAGAGATAATTAAGGCCAGATTATGTCGTGTATCCTAACTAACATTTTGTTTCCTTTTTAAAAAAAAAAAGAAATTCTAAATTAGATAGAATATAATTCTAATTTTATAGAATATAAGAAACATCTTAAGAATACGTTATATAACATTTTTAGAACATGAAACATTTTTAGAACATGAATAATTGTTATAAAACAGAGAGAAAAGTATAGAATACATATTCTAAATTTCGTAGAAATTAGTATTCTAAATACCGTAGAACATAAATGATTTCTAAATTTTGTAGAACATGTACTGTGGGTAGAATACATAATCTAAATTTCGTAGAACATATAGAGTGTATAGAATACACATTCTAAATTTCAGAGGTGTATTCTAAACTTTATAGATCAAATTTTATTCATCCATAACGTCAACAAAAACGACATATTTTTAATATTTTATATATCTTCATGTTTTCTTCATCATTTTTCTACAAATTTTTCTTAATTTCTTTTGAAACAATTGGTTCAATCTAATGTAAAGGGTAGTTTAGGAATAATTGATATTTGTAAATACAATGCATATATTAACAAATGTTTAAATATTTATTCTTTATTTCCAATTTTTCGATATTTATTTAGGAAAAGTTTTCCGAAAACGTAGCAAGTTTATAAAACATCTAATCATAATTAATAGGTATGATTATTTAATTAAGATTTAAATCATCTAGAGGAATTGCTCCACCGGTGAGGATATCTCGAAACTCTAATCATGTAATCCAGATTAATTTTGAAAATTCTGCCAAAATTCCTACTTCAAAACTATATGGGATTCTTGCAATATTTTTAAACCCGACCCGAAAAATGAACCGAACAGCCTTCTAAATCATCGGGTCACTTGGTCAACTAAGTTCGACTACGGATTAATTGATTAAAAAATTTTTAAAGTATTTAATATATTAAATATGAAGTCTAATAATAATACAGTGATTAAAACTTTTTTAATCCAAATCAAACCAAAAATAATATTACGATAGTAGGGCTTATATTAGTAAACAAAAATACTAATACCCTATATTTTATCCCAAAATCAAACCGCAAGTTTTTATGGGTTTCCGGTTTAATAATTGCCGGATGTTAACACTAAACCCAAACCAAAAAAGTGTTTGGGTTGTGAATTAACTGATCGGACCGGACGACCCAGATCGGGCGTGAAAACATTCTTGAAAAAACATGTTTTCTCATCTTTCCCAGAAAATTTTCTGTCACAATAAGAATATAACAACAGAGAAATCAAAACAAAGTAACTAAAAAACAGTATTAACTTTTAAAACACGACATCTTGTCTCTATCGGTTTCCTTTTTCCAAGATAGCGATTTTTTCTTGTGACACAAGAAAACGAGTTACAAATACTAAAGGCCAAAAACAAAACCAATCACTCAATGCAGAAAGACGGTATTTTCAGTTCCAGAGATAACTTAACATTTTAATGGATTATTGTGGTTCAAAAAAACATCAAATCCTCTCAACTCACCTCGGTCCAGGTGAGAATCCAGAAGGAGAAAAGCTTAATTCAATCGAATCTCTTGAAAACATCTCTTGAGTACCTTGTTTCCTGGCAATTTCAGAGTCGAGACATTCTTTTAGCTCCATCACAACATGTGGCATCGTCGGTCTACGGTTCGAGGTAGGGTTTACACAAGCCAAAGCCAACTCCACAGCCTTCCACAAACCATTTGTATCAAACTCCCCCATCAGTTTCGGGTCGATAATATTCCTAATGTCTCCTTCCATGAGCTTGAATCCAACCCAATCTGTAATATGCGCTTTCTCGCGGTTTGTATCAATCACATGCTGGTTTGTAATGATTTCTAATAAAACTACCCCAAAGCTGTACACATCGGTCTTCTCGCTTAACAAGTTTGTTCTATAGTACCTGAAAAGAGTATTAAATATATTACATTTCGTATTCTATTATAAGTAAGATAATTGATTGATTCACTCACTCAGGGTCTAAGTAACCAGGTGTTCCGGCTACAATCGTTGATACATAAGATTCACCTTCAACCGGGGAAGATCTAGAGAGCCCAAAATCGGCTAGTTTCGCTTGATAGAGCTCATTCAATAAAATGTTAGTAGTTTTCACATCTCTATGGACCATAGGTGGTCTACTTCCATTATGTAGATACTCCAATCCTGTAACAAATTATAATTGTTTTATGTCCATTTTTCATTTAAGACATCAAAATCAAAATATAAGCAAGACTTTTTGTTATCTTATCACCTTGTGCTGCCTCCATAGCTATTTGCATTCTGTTTTCCCAAGTTAGAACATGTCCATTGCGGTTTCCTATACCGAGTTTCAATTGTTAGAATTACGAATTCCACCAAATAAAAGTCTCTTAGTTAAAGTGTTTAATTACCTGACATATTCTCCTTCAAGTCTCCATTTGCCATGTATTCATAAATCAAAGCCAAGTTATCTCCATCATCACAGTAACCAACAAGTCCCACCAAATGCCTATGGTGGACTCTTAAAAGTAGTTCAACCTAAGAAAGATTAGAAACTTAACTTCCATTTCAAAAAAAAAAAAAAAATGACTAATGATTTTAAACGTTACCTCTGCTTTGAAATGTTTATAATCTTGATCAGCTGATGAATGAAAGAGCATTTTCACAGCTACTTGAATATCATCCAGTTTTCCATAATACACTCTTCCATATCCTCCTTTACCAAGAACTCTCTCAAAGTTATTCGTCATCTTTAGTATCTCGGAGTAGGTAAATTTCCGATCCTTTGTTTCGATTGATTGATAAGATGATCTGTTCTCAGTATTAACCCTAGTTGGAGCTGTTATAATGGTCAAAAGGAGAATTAAAGATGAATCAAATATTAAAAAAATCTGTTATGTTTTCCATTAATGTAAAGACATGATCTGATGTTTTTACCTTCCCCACTTCTCTGTTTTTCTCTTTTAAAAATGAAACATATGGTAAAGATAGCTAGTAATGCGATCACACCAGCCACTGATGCTAAGATAGCAACCAAAGGAACTTTTATACCGTGTTTTTCGCTACTCTCGTTTTCATCTATACTGCAATGAAATCATTAAAATTGAATGGGAAATGAAAAACAATAGAAGATTAGGTCATCTATATACTTTCCATTACTTGTAAAAGAAACAAAAAAAGTTGAGAAAACATACATTAGTTTTAAAGATTTGTTCCTTATCCTATTATGAATAGAATCTGGAACTGTGAGATTCAGCTTCGGGTTTCCTCTTAAGTTTCTGCGAAACGAAAAGACTGAATCTTTCAAGAACATAACCAAGAAAACCTTAGCAGAAAGAGCAAAGAGTTAACTAACATGCAGAATCTTACATTACTGTCAACATCTTCATATCAGCAAGAAAATCTGGAATCTCTCCAGATAAATCATTATTTGATAAATCTCTGTCCATTGTACAAAATAGAGAAAATGATTATATCAAAATAAGGAAAACGATTATACCAAATAGTTAAGTATAGTTATGTTATATAGTGTTAGATACTTACAGTTCCCTCAGTTGTATGAGATTATATATATCATTCGTTATGGTACCGGTTAATCCACTCGTTGTCAAGTTCCTAATATCTTAAAGAGTTAGAATTTTGACGAAAACTCGATACTATAAGAAAAATAAAGTAATGAAATGTATATAAACGAACTGAAAAGAAAACATACAATGATGTGATCAGAGGTTGATCGGAGTCCAAATAAAGGCAATCTACGCCTTCCCATCGATAAATTTGAGGAGAACATGGATCTCCTTGCCAACTTACCTTTTTACTCAATCCATATGTTTTCTTGATGTTCATCATAGCAGAAACTGTAATACCCAAAACAAAACCAAAAACACCAAAGCATGAGTTCTATTAGATGGAGTAATAAAATCTAGAAATCATATTTAAAACTTGATATTTCTTGTCAACTTAGACAAATTTGAATATTTGAATATACACTAAAGTTCAATAAAATTTATGTGGATTTGAAAATGTTTCTCACAAACTACATACTTCCTAAATTCTTAAAAAAAATTGGTTAAAAGAATGAGGGTAAATGGAATTTACCTTCATCTTGATATGTCTCGAGCAGTGAATTTTCTACAAGTATATAAACCTCAAGGGCATTGATAAGTGGAGGAAGTGTAGAGTTTGTGGTCATTGTAAAAGTGAAATTGAAAAAACCATCGGAAGAACTCAAAGCTGTTGGACTAGAGATTGTTTTGATGCTGAGATTGTGAGGTCTAAAGTAACTTTGCCAAACCTGACCACCATTGTAAGTAATGTCGAATTCTCTGATCTCATTAGATTTAAGATTCTGGATTTCTGCAAAATGCATGTATACATATGATGGTGCATTGATGTTTTGGAGATCCCACCATATGTTGAGAGAATTAGTAGCTTTCGCAGGGATAATAGCGGAATTCGCCACATTTTGAGGCACATTGTAGGAATTGCTACTTGTATCAATCGGTAGATTGGTGCTTAGCGACAATGTTTCATTCTGGCTGAATGGAACCCAAACTCGATCATACAAGTCATCATAATACCTAAAGAGAGAGAGAGAGACAAAGAGGCTTCATTTTTATAAAAATGTTAGCAAAATAATCATGAAACATTAATCCATACATAAGATATAGCAAATCACTTTGCAAAAATGTAAATATGTATTCAATGTTAGGAATGGTAAATTTTAGCGTAAACAAGTTTCCTTAGCATGAAAAAGTGGTATACTTACTATGCATTCATCACTTCAAACGAATAGTAATTATAAACTTAAACGAAAGAAAATTTAAAGCGTAAACGGAAAAAACTAACGGAAAGTTCTAATTCTGTTTTTCATTTTACTAAAATACTTTATGAAAAACTGGAAATGTTTATTTCAAATCTATAAATTTGTATTTGAACATTCTTTTTCTCTCATGTAAACAATACACATAAATTGTATTTGAAAATTTTGAAACCTCATATTCTTTACCTGAGGAAATATGCAGTCTTTGGAAAGTAGATTCTGGCGAAGGACATCAACGATCCGCTTTGAGTGACGTAAGTATTATTGTTCAACAGACGAAGTTCCAACGACGATATAAACGGTGTCGTATTACCTGTTTTGACAAGACAAACTTGAAGACGATCTTGAGTTAAGACATGAATTATCTCGTAGATCGTCGCATTTGCTACTCCTTCCAACATAACAGAAGTCCATTTATTAGGACCAATATGAAGATCAAACTTAGGCATTTGATTCAAACCATCATAATTCCCATACACAAACGTTCCTCTAATCAGATATTTGAGATTCGCTTTGAGATTGAAGTTGTAACAGTTTCTTTGACCTTCAGGGAAGCTTCTTAAGGTCCAAGTCTGTTGCTGAAGCTGTGACTTGTATGAATCACTGATCCTTTCGGTTAATCCACTGTCGATATAATCCGCGTCTGATATGTATGTTATATTCGTTATCGTCTCGGTATAGGTTGTGTTCTTAGGAATTAATCCACAATCCAAGCTAATAAATCCTGTTCATGAATCATGATTCAATAAAATATTCAATGAGATATATTTAAAAGGGTTTTGTAAGAAACATCAAGCTTTTATGAAACAGAGTAAGAACCTGATTGAGATTGAGATTGAGCTTGGACTAATTGAAAAACTGAAAATGCTATAGTCGAGAGGAGCAAAAACCCATTAATAGTCTTCATTTTATTTTTTCTGGATTACTTTTAGGCTCTGATGGAGGATCTTACTTTGTGCAAATCTTCAACATTTAGATTAATCAGGGGATTGTAAGATTTTGGTAGAAATCGAATAAGCAAGTAAGGAAATAGAATGAAACAAAGGGAGATGGATGCAGAGAATCTTGCTCTGTCAAAATAATCCAAAGCTGTCATAAGCAAAAAAAAATTATAGAAAAAAATCATAATTTCTTTTTTGTTAGAAAGAATTCCAAACTATGCAAGGAAAAAAATCTTGACATCCATAATTTGATGTTTTTTACTTTATAGCATATTTTTTTACAAATTTTGACTGTTCTTTGGAATGGATAATAGAAAATGTAAATGGAGCATAAAAATGAATGAGTAGACTCTGGCTAATTGAGAATAAAATTTACTATCTCTAACTTTTTTTAGCTTGGATTGTAAGTTATTGTATTGCCAATATAGAATATTGAATTAATTTGTTGTAACTCAGAAAAAGTTTGTTTGCTACAAAATGGTCAGGCTAAAAGAAATATACGTTCCACTTTCAACAGTCTCAAACCGATCCAATGATCAATACAGTTCTAACTTCCTCAAGGCTTGTCTCTTCGGCTTTGCATAGCAACAAGAGATCTAATGTCAACTCATTACATTCATTGCAACGTGTTTCATAGGGAACTTAAAGTTTGAAATTAAAAGATCTATCAAATTAAATACGAAAATATCAAAGGAATTACTTATATGGTCAATGGTCATAAAAACCTATTCTGAATTATTTTGTTGTTAGTCTTCTTGACCAACTTGCTACAAGTTTTTATTTTGGCCTATATAAACAACAACCTTCCATAGTTTCAAAATGTAATCTGAAATCTTTTTTGAGTTGTAAGCGTTTTATCAAAAAGTTGTTATGGCAAACGAGCGATCAAGCTTAACCCTCCTCCTTTCTGTTCTTGTACTTTCTTTGGTCTTCTCTCCTACACTTCCATGTCAAGCAGCTCGAGTGCATCTCGATGGTAAGCTAATCTTCTTGAATTAACAATCCGTCGCGGTTTCCCTTTTAAAGAGAAATGTTTTTATATTTTTATTGTTATGATAGTTGAAGGGCGTATGCTGCTGAGAGCACCAGTGCCAATTCGCTTTTGCCCGGCTTGTGCGTGTTGTGCACCGGCTCCAAAAGGTTCTTGCTGCCCATGCCGATGCACCAACAATCCCTAAAAAGATGTGACTCCGCTTTCTGCTAGCATGTATGTGTTTGATATATGTATACTTAATACTCTGCTTTCTTTTTCTACTCTTATATATGTGTATTTGTTTGATATGTGTATGTGTATGTGTTTGATTTATGTACTATGAATAAGCAAATCAAAGCTTAAACTCTGTGTTTCTCTGATTTGGACAAAGAAGTCAACTATATGTTTTTGTCTTAGCAACGTTTATGGAACTATTACTAAAGTGGGTAAGTTTAGTATTTGAGGGACCTGTGACTTCTCATTCTTCAACATACAAAGAGACTTTGAATCCTAAAATGGACTGTGGAAAAGTCGTCTTCAAAAACTCGTTTAAATATGACATAACCTTAAATCATTAATCCTCTAATTACTCTAAGCATAACAAAGCAAAGCATCAATATATATACCGTGTACAGTGGAAAATCGATCTTTGTGAAAGTTATGTATGATCAAGAATCAAGATTCAGAGGGTCCAGTTGTGCAAAATGGTCAAAATTGAATAAAGCATTTAGGGAACGCATTTAGGTATGATTATGAAGATAATCAAAAATAATTTAAAATGTATAATATTAATTCACAGGTAAAAGTCAATCTATGGTGTAAGAATCGTAACTATAAATATCCCATGAACTAGTGGATAAAGAAAAAGAAGACGAATAAAAACTAGTGGACAAAGAAAAAGAAAAAGGAAAGACTAAATTTCTGATTTCAATAGATATCATCCAACGAGTAATTTTTTTTGTTTCTTGACCTATATAAACATCATCTTACTATAGTTTCAAACTGCAATCTGAACTCTTATTAAGTTTCTAAGCATTTTCATCACAAAGCTGCAATGGCCACCGACCGATTCTCAATCATCCTCATATCCGTTCTTGTACTTGCTTTGGTCCTATTTCCACTCCTTCCATGTCAAGCAACTCGAGCGCATCTAGATGGTAAGCTAATCTTTTCCGTATTAATAAATTATCCTTCGCGGTTTTCCTTAATTAGGTGAATCTTTTTTTTCTTTTACCTTGAAGCTGAAAAGCGTATGCTGAGGCGCGTGTGTCCTTCGTGTGTGTGTTGTGCACCGGCTCCACGAGGTGCTTGCTGCCCATGTCGCTGCCCCAAAAATCCCTAAACGCTTCGACTTTGCTTTCGTCTAACAGCTTGTCATGTGTTTAATATAATCTTATTTACATGTGAATAAGCAATCAAAAGATTAGACTCAGACTCCGTATGACTCTTGTCACTTAGGCCATTCTAGTTTTTGATTCTGATTAGGATATCCTCTGATTCGGACAGAAAACTATGTTATATATGTTTTGCCTTATAGCTTCGTTTAAACTTATTATTAAAGTGGATCGGTCAATGTTTGAGGGACCTTTGACTTCTCTCATTCAACTCACAAAGAGAGACTTTGAATTGACTGTGGAAAAGTCATCTTTAAAAACGCATATAAATATGATATATATACCCTTAATTCTCTCTTATAACACAAAGCAAAGCATCAATGGCGTTTCACAGTGGAACATCCATCTTTTTGAAGATCTTCGTCTTCGCTCTGCTACTTCTTCTTCCCTTGTCACAAAGCATCCCTACTCGTATCCCAAGAGGTAACTCTAGTCATTAAACCTGTCTATATACCTATAATAGTTTCCAATATTAGATAAGTATAATGATCTGTATGAATCAATCTTTCTTGGTATGTATTTACATCAGCTCCAATTAGCTCGAGAAGACCGATTTGCCCGGCTTGTGTGTGTTGTGAGCCAGCTCCGCTAGGAAGTTGCTGCAGATGTTGTGCATCTCCTATTGTCACTCAAACTCAATCTCCATGAAAATGTAACATCAAAAAGCTTGACTTGGTACCAAAAAAAGAAGAATAATAAAGAAACTCTGTTCACATGTCCTAATAACAAAAAACAATTCTAGCTTCAAAGTCAACTTGAGTTCGATTTTTTCAACCATTGACCAAAACTTTGATTAATGTAAACATTATTGATACCTTAACCAAAAGATATGCCTATATTCACTTTAGGTCTTTAGATTATTAGGTTTTATTTATTTATTATTAACTCATCAAATCAACAGAACGGCGACAACTTGGACAGCTTCGTTCCCGTGTAAGCCAAGAATCAATACACAAAAGATGAAAAACATGTCCACACTTTTTTAATCGCCTAATCTGATGATCATCCTCGTACTCTTCCAAACAAATTGGACAAAAACGTTTACCACTCCCTTCTTCTTCTCCTCCTTCTTTGATATCTTTGAAAACTAGGGTTTTCCTCTGTCCGGTTTCAATGTCTTGTTGAGGCTTTACAGTTTGGTGGATTGTCTCGGGAGGTAATCCCGTGGGAGGGAGACTTGTATTTTCGCAACAGTGAGCAATTACGGTGACGATCAAGGAGATGATGAACAAACCAATGATAATTTCATCAGTAGTATCCATCCTCACGTATACTTCGTTTTCGTTTGTTCCTACCAGAAGAAATATCAAAACGTGATTTTTTTTTACTTTAGAAAAGTATATTTAGAATTACATATCAAACCAATCTTCCCATTAGGATTAGAGTTTTATTTTCTTTTTCGTTTTGTTTTTTGGATAATAGGTAAAAAAAAAACACATGCTTGCATCCCAAGAGAACCCTAACGACGTCGTTTACTTTGAGACCCTAATTTGATCAAACTTTTAATTAAAGCCAAATAGAAAATATAGTCCTCGCTGAGTTTAATTCCAGACAAAAATAGTTTGAATACGTTATCTGCATACAAAAAAATGTACAACAAATCAAGGAGACATTGGTTTGAAACACAGATAATTTGGTTGAATTAAAAATAAGAATGTATAGTTACATACTGAACGAAATCATATAGATTAATTAAAAAGATTGTATCATTAACATTGTATAAACTAGGCCTGGACATTCGGGTATTCAGAACGATTCCGGCTCGGTTTCATTCGATCCGTTTCTTTCAGTTCTACAGTTTAGGATCCATATACAAACCGAAAAAATGTTGGTTCAGATTTGGTCCCGGTTCCGGTTCTTTCAATTATGAATTTTAGGATCCATTCCGATAATTTCTTTCGAATATTTTGGGATATTTCAGATATTTTGGGTACTTTCGGATATTATTAAATATTTTCGGGTATTTTTTGGTATTTCGGGTAATTTTGGTTATTTTAGACAAATAACTAATATTTTTAGATATACAGTATAACTATATTTCGGGTACCTGACATATTTCGGTTCGGGTCGATTCCGGTTCTAGTTCTTTCAGTTTTAAAATTTAGAATCGATTTGAGTATTTTTTTAAAAAAAATTGGCTCAATTCTGTTCAGTTTTTTTTTTTTGTTTCGGTTCCGGTTCGGTTATTTTGCTTAAGCCTAGTATAAACACAAAACTAGAAATTTGATTCAGCATCTTCAAAAATCACCATGGGTGATAATAACAACACATGGACCAGCATCAAGCTGATCCTTTTAATTGCAGTCATGGTTTTATCTTCTGATTCTTACACTACACAGGTAAAAAGAAGCAGCCCAATGTTACAAAGTATTGATTATGTCCCAAAATTATATGGTTCCCGTTTCATGCATCATCATCAATATATCGCAAGATAATAAAGTGATGTTTTGTTTGCAAGATTGCAAAATATCTCAAGCATATAAACTCATATAAACTTCATTTGAATCTCCAAAAGAATAATCATCATATAGAGATTAGTCTCTGTAACTAACTACTTAGTTAGACTGCGATCGATCATATCTCTAGACAAACTAAGCTTCTTCTAGGCAATGACAAATAATCGAAAACAAAGAAACGGTTTTAAGATTTCAGTTTTTATCTTCCTTGGACAAGACCACTAAAGACTTGGCTGTTTCCAGCAAGTGTTGCTTCCCATTCAATGGAAGACAGGAGTATCTGTGAGAGCGATATAACCACTTGCTTCATGTTTGGTCTTAGAATCGGATCATCATCAACGCATTGCTTTGCCAACATAGCGATCTGTCCACACAAAAATTCATTTCCAATGAAAAAATTCATATGCATGGTTGCTACATTTTTTCATAATACTAACCATTTGTTTCTTAGCTTACCTTGAACAAACAGTCGTGCGGGTATAAATCCATCATGTTGGGGTCAACAAACTCCTTCAAACTCGACATGTTCATCGAGTCTGGTGAGTTCTTAAGAGCTCCTAACATCTGCAATTTTAAAAGAAAACAAATAAGGGCTTAGGGAAATGAATTTTTCATCGTTAATGGTTCAATCTTTGATAAACTCCAAGAACTTACAATAGATGCCAATGGACGTCTTTCTGGATTCTTAGTTCCCATCGCCTCCGTTCTTATAACAGCTTCTCTTCCGGATATAATTTCGAAAAGAACAACACCAAAGGCATAAACATCACTTTTCGAGGTGGCAAGACCATCACTTAGATATCTGCAAAAGAAAAGACAGAGAAGTCACACATAAGAATTCACTAAAGTATTCTTGTATTAAAACTCAATGTAGCTTCAGGTTTTCGAATGCTTACTCAGGTGCAAGATAACCATATGTACCAACAACTTTAGTAACTGATATTTCTCCCTCTCCAGTTTTCTCAACCAGTTTTGCAAGTCCAAAATCCGATATCTAGATTGCGTGCAAATACAAGTATAAACCAAAATAAGCAAAAGTCATGTATAAGAATCATATAGCATGTAACAGATTCATATAAATCATGACTCTAACCTTTCCTCTAAATGCCTCGTCAAGCAAAATGTTGCTTGTTTTGATATCTCGGTGAACATAATGAGTTTTAGTATGCTCATGAATATATTCCAAGCCTCTTGCTGCATCAAGTGCAATCTGATTCCTCATTATCCAAGAAAGTGGGGTATTGCCTTCAAGAACATCAAGAAATATATCATTATCGTCATCTTCTTGTTAGTTTTTGTTGGCATTAATAGTCTCTTTACCTTTGCTCTGAGGATCATGCAAATGGCTTTTCAGCATTCCCTTTTGGACATATTCATACACTACGAAAAGCTCGTCAACGGTTGCAGCGTAACCAATCAATTCTACCTTTGACAAGAATAAAAGTAAACACAAGAGTCATAATCTCGAATGATTTTATACGCATAAAGAAGATATACACACAAAGATAATTACCAGATTGGAATGATGAACTTTGCAAAGCACTTTCATCTCTGCTGCAAACTCTTTAGTTTTTGTAGCAGTCATTCTTTTGACAGCAACTTCCTGTGATAAGTTAAACCAAATATTACAACGAATAAAGCGATTTACGAGAACTCAAGACTCGGAAATGAAGATGTGACTTAAAGCACAAACCTGTTCTCTAAGTAAACCAAAGTATACTGAACCATAATTTCCATGACCAAGAAGATTAGAATCCGAAAACTCATCCGTAGCCGCACGAATTTCTTCATAAGTAAACACCATAGGCTTCTCTATCTCAAACATTCCATCACCAAGAGCTACATTCATACAAGAGACAAAACCGTTAAAACAACGAAAAACTCTTTTATGGAGAAACCACCGATGATGAAACCAAAAACCAGACCTTTAGGAATAGCAACAACTTGATGATGACTCTGATTTTCACCATTGGTTTGTCTAAAATCCCCTGATCTGCAGCAGTTATACCGACCAGAACCGCAAAAGAAACCGGATTTTCTAAGGATTTGGAAGTTGTGTCCATTACCATCTTCCTCACTGGAACTGCAACTAGATGATCTCAAACAGATACATACAAGTATACACAGAACAAGAAGCGCAAGCACAACTCCAAGACCACCAACAATCCATATATAAGGCACATGACTACCACTCTTTGCAGTGTGATTCACCTGGTCATCTTTCCAAATTTGGAAACATACATACAAACATCTAAATTTAAGTTTCATGATACTAAAAATAGAAACTTGAGATTCAGATCAGACAAGACAAGATAAAAAAAGAAACCAAACCTGAGAAATTGCCATTAGCTAATGATGATGCAGGCGCTGGAGAAGGAGCTGGTGGATTTATCTTCCTTGTCTCGTAAGCCTCTCCAGGTACTTAAACAACAGCATCAAGATCATCAAATTGTTCCTCTTAAAAACCCTAACTTTCGCATAAAAATTGAAACTTTCTTACCGGAATCAAGGGGAATGTATAAGACATCACCAGCTGTGATATTATCAAGATTCAAGATCTCATTAACTTCTTCAATTCGATCCATACTAACACCAAATCGACTCGAGAGAGATTGTACACTATCTCCAGCCACGGCAACGTAGCTCATAAGATAGTTCCAGAGACCACTAGAGCAACCACAAAGAAGCTGAACAGAAACAACCGAACCAGCACGAGCTGCTCTTCTCGTATTCGGTGGAAACGCGAGACCAGAGTAAGCAGAGACGACAACATTGTAAACATATCCAACGTTTTGTCTGATTGTGAATGTTGTGTTTGTTGTGTATTGATGAGTCGTGGTAAGACAAGAACAGTTCTTTTTAATAAAGAAGTAACCTCCGGAGATGTCGGCGGTTATGTCTGCTGGTAAAACATCGAACATGCTTTGGATTACGGAGAAAGATTGGTTTTGGTTTGGTTTGAAAGCGAGGAAGGAAGTACAGAGACGGGAAGTGTCAGAGCAATTCATTGGCTTTGAGAATGAGAGATTTAGTAAGGAAGTGAAGAAGAAGAAGATGAAGAAGGAAAGAATCAAGAAATTGGAAGTTGTGAGATTCATTGTGTGAAGTAGAAATTGGGAAATTCTAAAAAAGGGTAAGAAGGGTTTCTTTTTTAGGGATTTTGATGAAACCTAATGGTGAATTGAGAGATGGGTTTTGGTTGATTTGGTTAATGGAGAAGAGAAAGAAGTAGAGAGGAGATGAAATCAGCCATGGGAGGAAGGAGTGAAGCTCACACTCTCTTGTCGGGACTGAAAAAAAATCTAAAATAAAAATCTTAATTGATAGGAGGAAATGTCCAAAGATATATATATACTAGATTTTAACCCGCGGTACACCGCGGGATGATTTAATTTTAAAATTAGTATAAAAATATTTTGTAAATTGTATCTCCTTATAACATATTTATTTATATTATAGTTTACAATTGTTATTAAGTAACGGTATACCACGAGTCCACGAGACAATTATTAATAAACTGAGGATTTAACCCGTATTAAAGCGGTATATAAATATTGATTCAAATTCGTCCGCCATATAAATCATTTCCGAAATATAACCCGTTCCGTAATTTCTTAACCCGTCCCGTGATTCGTTTTTATTTTAAAATTTAATGATTATTTATTATATATAAAAGTTTACAAATCATATCATTCTCTAAGACATTTATATTTTAATAAACTAAAGATTTAATATGTATTAAAGTGGCATGTTAATGATATTTTAAATTTTTATAAATATTGTTATTAAGTAACATTATACCACGGAATAATTGTTGGTTTTATACAATCTTTTCTAAATGAGACTGCTTTAATATGTCTAATATTTGTGGTATTAAAAAAAAAAATTTAATCCGTATTGAAGCGGCGGATTAATGATACTTTAATCTTTTTATTATTGTTGAT